CAGATTTTTATTACTTCTTTGAATCAGTTTTCTGAAATGTATTTTAAAATGTGTTCGATAGGCAGGTTTTTAGATGTCTTGTAATGTGATCGTTAAAAATATGATATTTGCATTTCATTGAAAAGGAAAATTTCTAATACTTTGTGCTAAGGCTCCCTGCTTTCAGCATCTCTTTTATAAGAACAATCAAGAGTCGGGGGAGCATGGAGAAAAAAATTGAGAAAATCTTTTTCATGCTCTGTTCGGGGCCGGAATTTGTTTATCGCATGAATGACAGCCAGCAAAGGCAGTAAATTTGATATGCTATGGAGATAGCAAAAGGAGAGTAGAAAAAACAACGGAAGTAGAAATCTCATCTAACATGCTAAATCCATTTTCTCAAGACAAGGATCAATGCTCTGAGTACATGCATTATTGACCCTGGCAAGAGAGGATCAATCTCTGAAATAGAATTCTAATTGATCTCAGAAACCATGCATGCTTAGCAGGCTTGAAACGACTATGTAGAGTTGGTTCTCATGCTACAAAGCTTGCTCAGGTCATCTGCCAGCCCATCTATCTCTCTGTCTCCTTTCTCTCTTGTGCGCTCCCTCAATTCTCCTGCTTTTCTTCTTGTATTCTCTCCACATTTGTAAATTTCAATGTGGTTGATTTTTTGGGTCAAAACCAACCGAACCAAGGAATGCTCTCCCTGACTAGTGGACACCACACATGCGCGCGCGTACACACACTAGTTTGAGACATGCAATGGCATTGCACGTAGATTATTCAAGTTTTTGTTTACATTTCATTCTTTTTCATGAATTATATTCAAGATATTAAAACAAATATAATATCTAACTTCAAATATTTAAAAGATAAAAAAATTTAATGTGCTAGTAAGTAATAGTCTCTGTTAATGCTTATCCATTAGGTAGCAATAGGGGTTGAAATTATGTTTCCTGAAATTTTGAATTTTTTTAATATATTTTTGGATCATCAGATGCCTAAAATTATTTATAAAAAATAAAGAATATATATTATTTTGATGTATTTCTTAATAAAACAATTTTTTTTTTAAAAAAACCACTATATTCCCCTCAACACCTTTTAGCCTTGCAAATTTCCCCTAATGAAAAATAATAAAAGTGCTACAAATCTTGTATTATGAATATTGAATAGAATGACTATTTTGTCTCAGTATATTTTCTACCATAATAGTAAATGGTATGCCTTATAAAGTTATGCCGTCGATCTTCATTCACACGATGATTAATTACTCTACTGTGATTAGGTTTGAGTCATTTTTTGAGCGCTGTCATGTCCATGTAAAATGATTGTTGAGTTCTTTACTTACGTTGTTCAAAAACTTATGTTGTTCGAATATAAATCCTAAGAATTGAAATTAATGATGCATCAACAATCTGAGGGTCGCCGGAGTCTGCATAAAACAACAAAATAGAATTAACCCTCCGGCACTTCTTGAAACAATCTGTCAACAATGTCAGATGGCCACTGAAAAAGAGAATTAATGAACATAGGGAAGAACTAAGATGAAACAATGTTAAATCTGTCACAAGTAAGGTATATTTGGTATCTCTTTTGTTAATAGAAATCTAAAATTTTACTGCTCGACTTCCCGTTCATGTTTTGTTTCTTGTGGTTACATTAGCAAGTGGTTCTTCCTTCGGCAAGATGATCCATAGCCCGAGCCATACAGAAAGGCGAATGGACTGGACTCTCAAGAAGGCCCATGATTTTCTTCGGAGAGAGATGTTCCAATATAGGCCCTTGTGTTACGAGCTGGGAGGGCCCATTAATCGGGCCTCTCGAACAATCCATTTCTTGAGTACTGGGCTCTGTATCAATAAGAAACTAGGCCTCCTTTCAAAAAAGGGCTGGATTGCTACGACAAAAAACAAGGCCATGCCATCAATCAAGTGCCTGTAACTCGTCCTCTCTTCGATCCAAACTTGTGCTTTTAAACAAAAAAAGAAAAGAAAAGGGCAAACTAACTTCTCTCGCAGAAGTAAACCAGCCATTGTTTAAGCTAGGTTAGGAAATCATTGGAGAGAAAGGAATATCCAGTTCCTCTAAGATGAATCCAAAACGAATAGGGTTGAAAAAAAAGGCTAGTTCTTTCCACGTCCCACCTCCTCCATCTAAAGACTCGTAAGCACATGCGGACCATGCCTATGCAACCATAGTTGTTTGATTGATTAATCATTGATATAGAATGGTCACCTCTTTGGGCATAAGAAGTGCACAATTATATGTATCTTCTTGGACAAGATTCCACCAGAGAATTTTGTCTTTCCTTTTTTACATTTCATAATTAATATCTTTTCAAAAGGGTGATTCGAGGAATTTTGAGTTATTCAAAATGTTATCCTAATTCTTTCAGTGCCTTCCTATCGCACTCTTTTCAAGATCTGAACATAAAATTTCTATATATTGACGGCTAGATTATCCCCAACACTATTTTTGCTTGTCCCAGAAGAATAAATTCACGCTTTCATGTTTAATTAGAACTAGCGAGGCATGTATGTACGCACATGCCACTCATTCATGGTAATTAAGTATGCGTACGTGTATGGGATGTTGAAATCAGTCCATTATTTCAATGATCCAAAACACCTTCGAAACAAACCTTTTAAATGTGTTGTGCAATTGACTTCTAGATGATCATTCACGTGAACTGTTAAGGAATGAAAAGTTCCTGTGTTGTTAAGAAAGAGTATAGCAACTTGAAATGAAACGTTCATGATCAGTGGCTAACTAGAAAGTTTGGGGTGTTAATCACGCAGGACAATTCTCACCTTCCAATTCTCTTTTCTGAGAACAATCAAGAGGGGTGCGATTTTCCATCTCTTCCACTTTCTAAAGATGCTTAAAGGCAAATACACTCCATCCTGTCATTTAAAGAATATTCACTGCTACAGCAAGGTGGACAAAATTGTGAGAATCTTTATCATGTTCATTGTTCGATCATAAATTATTTCCTTGTAACCTTCCTGTGTTCATACCATGATATCATGCTTCCAAAAACTTTCCTAAAAATTGATAGAAAAGCTTTCACTCAATTTCTAGATCACACCGATTCATCCCGGCATGCCACTATGGCCCACGCTATTTCTAGCTCCACGGTGGAACCTAAAACCTCTATAGTCGCGCGCGGGGATGATCTGTAGGTATGATGTGAATGCATGGATGCAGCCTTTCCAAGTGTTTCTACATCCTGATATTCAAAAATTAAGAAATATCTTGGCAAACAAAAAATAATAATTAAGAATTAGATGTTCGTAGGTTGGTTGTGTAACGAGTTGCGAATATGTTTTTGTACCAAGTAGATAAGTTTAAGCTCATTAAAAAAACGTACAACTTTATATATGTTAAAGCCTAATTATAAGAACATCTTTAATTTTAAATTTGTTTGTTGGATCATTTTAACATTTTACCAGATAATTCTATATAATCAATTCTATAAAAAACCTGACTTAGAAATTGTTGCTTTTTGTTATTTTTGTAGTTGATTTCTAATTTTAATTATTTTTTCTACTCAACTTTAGATTTTTCTTTTGTTAGGCAGGTTTTAAATCTTTATATAAATAGTCAGCGTGTAATTTTTTCTATCATATTATTGAAATATATACTTAGGTTTGAGGATTTTTATTTTATTCACATCATAGATTGTTTCGGCTACATTTTTCGTGGAATTGAAAGCTGTTGCTTATTTGAAATCTTCAGAAGACTAAGCAAGGGCTTAATCAAGAAATTAAGGGTGACTGGACATTTTAGGAAAATAATCATTACGCGACTACAGCACCTTATCCTTACTTTTACAAGTTTTCAACAATATACGTCCAGCTACTAATATCAAGAAGCAATGGCATTTTGGAACGCACGAGATTTGAATATTTTCTCCACTAACTTATAATAAACAACTGCAAAAGCGCGTCATAAGCAAATTTCTTTTTTCTCGAACAACATTATATTAATAAGCGATATATGAACCTAATTTTAGCCGTGCATGTATTTACTTACATACATGCAATCTTCTTGGTGCATGCTCACATGTTGAATTCAAGTTTTGGACCCGAAAATATACATTCAAGTTTCGTTAGTGTACACATGAATAGGTGATAAATGCGGAGTGTATATATACATATGCTAGTGGGGGCTATGCTTAGCATGTTTCCTATGTGATTTCTAAAGCATCGGATCATATATATAAAGCTAAGAGATGATTTATATAAAAGTTGAAGATGGCCTTTCAACCAATTCTATTAATTTCTCCTACACCCATCGATATCTATAAAAGAAGGCCGCTACTGAATCATGTATGGCTGTAAGTAGTAATTGAAGCATGGCATGCATATGAAATCCATCCACACACTCCTAGCTAGCGAAGACAGTGCATCATGGACAAGACTTCACAACCCCAAAAGTTCTTCTAAATATGGAAGCCAAGAGTGCATCTTCGACAATGCTTAAAGCAACCTATATATCCCTACCAAAATCTTTCACCATCCCTTCAATAATCAAGAACCACACACAGACCATTCCCTTGCCAAAATATGTACACGTTACCAGTCAATGACTCATTTCCATCTGTATATAACTTGAGGGGGGAAATGGTTATAATTAACTCATCAAAGAGTACTATTGGTGTCGACTGTCAAGTTGCTACACTTTGCACCCGTCCCATGCATGTTATGCAATAAACTCTGTACACATAATTTTCACAAACTGTCCATCTTTATCCTTATAGGGCACCCCGTACGTATATCAAGTTCCCAAGTTCATCCTCGGTTTCTCATTTCACAAGAAGCCTAGGATTTAATACAGACAAAAGTGTTATGAAAAAAAAGCTCAAACCATCTTCGTTAAATGTTAAAAACCATAACCCTAGTTTTCCTGACAGTATTAATGATATAGCCTTTCCTAATATCAATGCAAATGAACCAATCAAATCAGAAGAGGAGGTATGAAAATAAGAATTAGCGAGTGCTGGAAGAATATAAGGAGATTGAATAGCTTAAAAGAACAACGATGACACAACACCCAACATCTCCGTAATGTAATAATCTCTGGATACAAAGAATACAACAAAAGAAATCAAGAGATTAACTAGTCTTCTCCCGCAAAAGCTACAAGGGTAGTCATTTTCCAACATCAATAAAGTTCTGTATCATGAAGAATGTAAACTGGGATCTTCTACAAATACAGAACCCCACAAGTAAGTTAGAGATCAAATACATACCGATATCTAATAGGAAATATTTCTACTCCTCTTTAGGCTCCTTCCTCATCTGGGAGGGCACAATATCCTGAAGAAGGCCATGGTCTCTAAGCAAAGAAGATGGACTATCCGACCTTCTCTGGTGAAAAGAAAAGGTGGGACTAAAACTAGTATTACTTGTGGTAATGTTCAAAGAAGGTGATGAGCTATACATGTAGGCATGTTGTTGATACTGAGTTTGTGGAATAACAAAAGATGATGTTGCAGCACCAAAACCAGTTGAGTCGGCCAAAATTCCAACACTTCCTCTAGGAGTTATTGGGCTTGGATGTATGTGTTGACCTTCGTATGTTGTAACAACTATAGATGAATCATCAGATGATCTCTCCACTCTCTTCTTCACACCACATCCTGCACTAGTGCAACGATAATAACTCCTGCAAGAAAAGCAATAAATTAACAAACTTTTTGTGTATGTATCATCATCACCACCCAAAAAGAGGGGGGTTGCATATATGCTACTTCTTGCTACACAAGTTACAAGATTTTGTGTATCCTCATCCTTCAGAAGAGATCATTGCTGTCATAAAGAAGACCAAGATGGGATTCTAATGATATACCTTGGATAGGGGCTGTTTTTCACAGCTTTTTGGCCGTACTTCCTCCACCTAAACCCGTCATCTAGGTGATCGACTTCACTCTTTGTCATGAAAGCAAATCTCGGCTCTCTTTGCCTTTTTTGGTTCTTCTTTTTCGGTTTCAACCTGAACCAACAACACATTACTACACTTTCAGTACTTGAAAAAAAACCCATAAAATTGCACAAAACAGAACAGGTAAAAAAACACTTCTTTTATTTCATTTTCCTCTCAGCAGATCACCCACCACTCCCTTCTTTCATATTTCAGTCTAAAACAAGAAACTCACAGTAACAAACAAGATAATAAAGCAAAAAAACAATACTAATATTATATAATAGTGCAAAATGAAAAGAGAAAATTACTGTTTCTTGGTCTTGTCGTGATCGTGCTTTTCTTCTTGATCTCCAGTTTTAACTTGTTGGAAGGCATCGTTTCCTGCTTCATTCGAAGAGGAAGAGATAGAAGCTGATGAATTTGGAGTTGCTGGGTTATTCAAAACCTCTGATGTTTCCGGTAGAGTTGATGCCGGTGATGGGACGAAAGTTTGTTGCTGCTGAGACCCCACAATCGGATTTTGAGCAAACCAATCGAATAAAGAAGCAGCGGTACCAAAATCTTGGTTGATATCAAGCAAATCTATAAATCCTAAAGACCCAGCCTTTTGATCACCACCAATAATATCACATGGCATCATGTCAAAGATGCTATTTAGTGGTGGTGGTGGTGGTGGTGGTGTTGCTGTTGTTGATAAGGCAAAAACACTGGGCATCTGATCAATATCACTTGTTGTTGCTGGTGGTGTAATGAAGGAAGAATTTGCCATAGTGAAATTCTCTGTCTTTAATATTGTTGTTCTTGTTAGCTCTTTCTTCCCTTCTCTTTTCTCCATGGAATTTGTGCACACGCTACTAATATTATTATTCTCCTTCATTTCATTCATTCTCAAAAATTAAAAATAAAATAAAAGCATTGTGAGTGTGTGAGAATGGACTTTCTTCTCGGCGTGTTTAACAGCTTAGATTATTGAGGTTTCCCATTGTTGTGGTGACCGTCACTTGCCGGTAATTTTGTGTGCTGGTCCGCGGACGCTGTTTGGCATTTACTGCTGCTGGACCGCAATCGGGTCCACTGGTTTCACCGGTTGCGTGGATATAGACTTTTTGCGTACACGTGGATTTTGATCTAGAGCAAAAGTTTTAGATAGTTCGTGTGCAGGTGATCTCTCTTCCCATTCGTTTTATCTCTCTCTCTCTCTCTCGCGGCTGCGGCTCCCTTCCCTTACTTTTGTTTTTTTTTTTAAAAAAAGGACGACAATTTAACTTTTTTTAATTTCATGTGAAGTTGACATCTGATTACCTGTGAAGTTACTTCGATATCCCTTGTCTTTTTGCCCCCTTCCTCTATGCATTTTGTTCTTCAAATTACATGAACATCCATGAAATTTGGCTTTAATTACATTTACACTGTCGACCATTAAGCTTGTAATTGCCAGCAAAATATAAAACCATCTTCTAATATTTCTTAACATTGCCAGATTTTAGTCGAAGCTTGAAAATTCGGGGGGTAATTAAGTTTAATATCTTCCAGATATACATTCCCGTTATGCTCCAGAAGGCTCAACACATTCAAATTCAGGGGGTTCTTAAGATTTGTTTCGGGAGCTTTACTTTCAAAAAACTTAAATTTTGAATAGACCGATGGAGACCTCATCCTTGACATATCACTTCTAATTTTTCTTTCCATGACATTGATATAGGAAGTTCTTGGCAACACATGTTCAATATATTTCAACCATTCAATTAGTCTTTATCTCTCTCTCTCACACACACACACACACAACATATTACCTACAAAAACTGGTGCAATAAGTTCAAACCATCTACAGCCTTGGAAAATAGGTGAATCGTGATGGTTTTTTTCTATTTTTATTTTAAATGTAACAGTTATTTTGTCAACTATTGAGCATTCAAACTAATTTTAATTCCAACTAAATCTAATTAGACTACGTATGCGTTGCATTAAAAATTATAGAAAGTTTTATTAAAAGATAATAAATAGGATAATAAATTCAGATAGGTTTATAAAGTTGGATCGATTTACTCTACTCAACCTTTTTTTATATATATATAAGAAAACTAGCCCATGTATTTATATAAGTATGTTGCATTTATACCCTATCGACCTCACAATAAAGGCTGAAAATACATAAAAATAAGAAAATTTAAAATCGACTGACTATGTATTTAACCGATAAAATTATTATTGACCTTTCGAGGCTTTTCTCTTTCGTGTGTATTTTATTTTATTTTATTTTATTGAAAATCAGTACTTTATAATTTTACATTTAAATTTATAATTATGCATCTCCAAAAAAAATATTGCTTGGCATCAATCAATCATAAGGGACAAGTTAATTGTACTTTAATTTACTTCTTACTCGTATTTCTAGAATATCTAGAATCCGAATAATTCTTACGCGGGTTTCTTTTGTTTTTTTTTTTTACTAGTGATTTCATATTTCTCATAACAATTAATCATATAAATATGATACTTATGGAGTACGATGAAGCTGGAAAAACTTCATATATAAATTGGATTTTCACAGTCTAAACGAAGGTGGGTTTAATTGTTGGGCTTAAATGACAGTGAATGTTCGCCTAAAAAATAAATTCTTGTAAAATAAGTATTAATGTACCGTGTTTTAAAAAAAATTATTTTTTATTAAAATTTAATATGTTTTGGATTGTTTTGATGTGCTAATATCAAAAATAATTTTTAAAAAATAAAAAAATATTATTTATATATATTTTAATAAGAAAAATTATTTAAAAATAACCATAACCACACTATCAAATATCAAATATACTCTTAAATGATTTTATATTTAAGTTTACTTAATAAATTATCCATAGAATTAATTGTTGAAGGGAAAATATTAAGTATGTGAACTTGTTTCTTAACTTGGTGATCTAAATATTTATCAACTCGAACATGTTAATTCAACTCAAATATGATAAGTAATTTTAAATAGTAATATCTATTATTGATAATAATGTTTGACAGCATCATTAATTACAATAAATGTTAGTAATATGTTGAGAAAGAAGCATTTAATTTGCATAAAAAATAATTGTACTTTCAATCATTGACTAAAAAAATATGTTTTGGTAGAATATATCAATTAATCTTAAAAAATATTGTGTGGGGGTGGCAGACAATATTGCATCCTACCTCCTGACACTCAAAAATACTTTAAAATTTGTGTTAATAAGATAGTATTTGGTTATTCTCTCAATATAATTGAGACAGATAATGAAAACAAAGAAAATAAGATAAAAAAGAAAGTAAAGATAAAATTATATTTGATAATGGTATGTAAAAAAAGTGATTATCTCCATGTCCTATTTAGTTATGGTAGATAAGATAAAATAAAATAAAATATAAAAAAATACATTTTAATTTTAATATGTATTATTGTCAAACTTATATATTTAAACAATTTTATTTTAATCTTAATATGTATTTTAAGTCTTAGACTGGTCTGAGTTTGATACAAAAAATAAAGAAATGATTGACTCAACTTGACCTAGTAAAAAATCTAAGTCAACATTGGATAAACTACGAGTTAAAAATTCATTGTTTGAAAAAAAAAATTTGGTCAAAACAAGGTTAATTTAATTATTGTTTTCAAAAATATTAGATCAACCAGGTTGACTCTCCAGACTTGTGACCTAAATCTTGTCTTAGGTCAACTCCTGAGTCAGGTTTTAAAATTACAATAATAACTATTTTTATTTATATATTGATTCGGGTTAATCTGTATTGACCTAAATTTTTCCCTATCTCGAATTTGATATTAAAATTATAATAATAATAACTTTTATTTTTATATTAACTTAGATTGACTTAGGTTGACCCGAGCTTTGCCTGTATATTGCTCTATAGTTTTCAACGTTAGCGACTCTCTAGTAATTTCCTTTGTATCATTAAATTAATTTCATTTTAGAATCATATATAATTCTTCATTTTATGAATTTTCCCCCTTCATCTCTCTTTCCTTTATTTTATCATTTTTATTCTCTTAAGTAAATAACATTATCTAAATAATATATTTTCCACTCAATTATATCATAACTCAAACAATTTCTTCATTATCCCTTAACCCCTCTTCATGGTCGTTTATGATCTTAGCCAAAATAAAAAATCCATTCAAGTTTTTTCTAAATAAATCCATATCTAATTACCCTTTTATTTTAATTAACACATCTATCTTTATAATTAATCTATAATTAATCACATGTAAGTTTTTTTTCATAATTTAATATATCATATTTAACAATTTCTTCAGTTATTCATCAATTGTTATTTCTTTTTCATGTATATTTACATTAATCCATCACAAAACACTAATTTAAACATCCAACACAATTCCAAGTATATTGCTTTTTTTAATGAAAAAGTCATCAATATATCATTACATATGCATGAAATGGATAATTCAAAGCATCATAGCACTTGTTCACAGAGAAAAATAAAGATGAAAAGCCCTTGAACCAACCTTCCTCCTCCCCTATCCCTTCCTCCAAAACCAGCACCAAGAAAACTGCACAAACCCTCTCCTTTTCCTCACCTCCCAACCGGCCATGAATGGCTTCCTAAGGAAGCCATTCATGTATTTATATCCCTTGTTATTTTTATTTTTATAATAGTCCCTCAAGTTCTCTATTTGCCTTTTTAACCTTGTTCTTTTATCTCTTACTTGATTCAATTTTTTTTATTATAAATTGATATTAATCAATTTTACTCCTATTAATTAATTATTTTTATTTACTTGTCTATGAATGAGTCTTTGGTTTTATTAATAATTTAACAATTCACTTATCAAATAAAATTTTGATTGAGGTTTACTCTTCGGGCACGTGACTTGAGCCTTACCCCGAGTCGATTTTTAATTTTGATTTTAAAACCATGATAATAATTATTTTTTTCTTTACCCAACAATCAATCTCACTCATGACCCAAGTCTCGTCCTGATTCGACCTCTAAATCAAGTTTTAAAAATATGATACCAATCATTTTTATTCATATGTTGACTCGATCAATGTAACCTGTGACCTATGCCTCGACCAGTGACTGGGGCTTTACCCCAGATCAATTTCAAAGTTAAATTTTAAAATTATAATAATTATTATTTTTATTCTTGCATGTATTTTTTAGTTGAAAAAATTGAAATTTAGAGTTTTTTATTAAGACATTTTAGAATTTAAAAATAATATATATTATTTCTAGAGGGATGCCCCTCCTATACCTTCTATTTTGAAAGTACACAAATTTACTTAAAAATTATCTTAAAAATATTTATTTTTATATTTTTATTTTTATCTTTTCATCAAAATATATATTTATTTTAACTGTTTTATTATCTTATTCTATTCAGGATAATAATTAAACACTATCTAAAAAATATAAAAGATAAACCATTTTAGACGGAGGCCACACCATTTGGGCCGAGCCCAAACAATGAAGCCGTGCTGTGTTAAATTATTATTATTAATTTAATTTAATTTAATTTTGAACCACCATACTGAAAATTAAATTGAGGGTAATCAGGTAATAGGCTGCTGTCTCCGTAAAGAAAACTTTCCACACGTACAAAAGAGGTTAAGCAAAATAACCGCGTCTTAGAGTGTGAAAGAAGGTTTATGACACGTTTGGTCCGACATGAAGTGCGCGATGATGACACAATCGACACGTCAGCAAAAACGTCCCTACATCTCTCGTTTTCGAGAAGCCAACACCGTCAATTTAAGGACCACAATCCGCACCGTTTAATTCAAATTAATTGGCTGTCCACCTCAAAAAATAATAATTATTAATTAGTTGACACATCTTGCAGCCGAAAAATTATTCCAGTGACAAGAATTAATATCACGTAGTTAAATTACCCATGTGGTCTCTTGTCTTTGTTGTACCACCAGCTAACAAGCTACTTCC